TTCTAGTGAACAAATAACAAATAAATATTATAGATAAGGATTTCGAGAAATTCTGAGGAAGGCGAGATTATTATCAACTGGAGCAATTGGGAAAGGCTTTATAGGGAAGCTAAGATGTGACTTGGACTTAGACTAGGATTAATACTTAATGAAAATGGAATGAATGATCACGTATGTAAAAGACAGCAATGATAAAGCAGATTAGGTTGTAAGGGAAGCAGGTAGTCCATTTGGTCAGAAGGCAGCATATATTTATGGCTATATTAGGAGGCAGAATGGATATTTAGCCAGAGATTAGATTGGAGAAGACCTTAAAATAAAATTTAGAACATGGATCTTATTTCAAAGACACTGAGGAGTCAAGGAAGGTTAGAAAGTAGAGAATAGTAGTAGAGGTCATTGTAGAAAGCAAGGAAAGAAAAGAAATAAAGAGAAACTTTTTGAGAACTCTATAATAGTGCAGGCTCAAGGGGATGAGGAAATGGACTGGATAGTGGCAACATAAAAAAAAAAAAAAACTTCCAGGTAATAAATAAAAATGAAAAGTGGTTCTGAGTCCAAGCTCTAAAGTCTGATATACATACTTGGGCTTAAATTCCAGCTCCACCACTTAGTAGTCACGTGAAGTTGACGAAAACTAGTTTATCTATGCTTCAATTTTCTCAGTTCCAAAAGGGGAACACTATTATATGAATATATATAACATATATCATATATTATATAATATACATATACTATATATAACATATCCCACAGCTGTGTTATGAGAACTAAATGAGATAACACATATACAGCAAATAGAGAGGGGTCAAGAGGGACTCCATAATTCAAAATCTCTGTAGCAGGGGAAATAATAGGGTCACTGACAAACTGAGAAGCTGGATGCAGATATGGTTTAGGGGATGATGAATTTTGGTTTGACATATTGAGTTTCAAGTGACGGGGACATTAAAGTATAGGCATCCAGTGGGCAGCTGAAGACCTGGGAGCAGTGCACAGGAGGAATAACAAGCTGGAGACAGAGAGGCTGCCCATTTATTTATTTATTCATTCAAAAAATATCTATTGAGTGCTTTCTCATTCCAACCACTGTGCCAGATGCTAGGGGGAAACTGATGAGAAAAGTAAACACAAATGCTGTACTCACAGCAGACAATCTATTGAGAACTCAATAAGCACACAAATAACCACAAACTATGATAAGTGATGTAAAGAAAAAGCCATCCCCTAAAAGCACACTGGACACTATCAGCATGGATAACATAGCCAATGCGAAGTGCAAAGAAAGTTGTGCAGAAACTAAGCTTTGAGGTATGGTTTGTATTCAAGTAACTAGAAAAGATGATGCAGTCTATAAACAAGCTCAAGAACGAGTCGTGGAGACAGGAGGCACACCAGGGCACAAGAGGACTGTGGAATCCGTGGGAGAAGGATCTTTCAAGAAAAGGTGGAATGCTCAGCAGTGTCAAATGATGCAGGAAGGTCAAGGAGGAAGAAGAGTAAGTAAAAACATTGGTTCGACAGGAAGACACTGACTGTCTTTAAAAGTACATTTGCAGAATGGCAGGGAAACTAATCAACATTCAATGGGTTAGGAAAACATTCATGGAAACAACATGGAAGTATAATAATGCTTAGGTCAGTTATTGGAGAAGTCCAATCCAAGAAATTAGCAAAATTAGTAAAGTAAATGAAGAATAGGAATAGTAAGGCCTTCTGAAAAAAGGGGATGAGATACAAAAGTAGGGCTTTCAAATGTTTCATTTAATTTAAAAGCATCTGTCATCTTAAAGGTTCCTCCCCCACTTAAAATTTTATGACTTTCGATGGGTTTAATTTTCAATTAAGTAAATAGCTAAAGACTTCTAAATATGCTAAGGAAACTTTATCATCTGCTGCTATGGGTGTGGATAACTTAGGAAATAAGAGTGAAAGTTAGACATAACATGGTTCCAAGGTTTTTTAGTCTCACCAGCCTACAAAACTTCTAATATGAACTGATGCAACTGTAACATCAGAAAATGACTAGATCTTAATTGCTAGTGCTAAGTGAAATTCAGCTCCAACAGAACAAAGCACCACTGAGAATCCATCAGACTGCCTTGGTTATCCCCAACTCCTTTGGTTCACTCCATCAAATCAAGGTTCACATGTTAAACACTTGGCCACACAGACAAAAAGCATGAAAACTGGCATGGTCAACAGAGTCAGTACCTCTATCTGTGGTCACATGGATCTATGGAGAAGCAGCCAAGCACAGGTGGTTGAAAGAAAAAGGAAGAAGAACGATTCCAAAACACAATTTGTTGAGTGCTGTATTATTTGGCTCAACCCTCACATCCGACAGAATTTAAAAGGAAAAAAAAATGAGAATGAGGGTGCAGAAACTACTTCCTTTACACACACAAAAAAGGGAGGGCAAGCAAAGGCTTTCTTGTAAGAGTCTTGTTTAGAGAAATTATATGGTAATGTTTATTCTTCCAATCCAGGCTTCCTTTGTGGTCTTGGAGTATATCAAACCCTGCAGCCACTCCTCCTCAAAAACAAATTTCTGGAGGCCATAGCGACAATGAGGGCTCATCTTGACACATCACATCATTGCTTTATTGTCAACTTTATGCAAACTCAAAGTTCTCAAAACACACAAAGAACCTTCAAATTTTCTGAAGCCTTCCTCTCAGATGTGGTAGAGCCTGAGGTTAGACCTCTGCTAGCACAAGGAGAAACCTGAGGAGCACTGGTTCTCTCCCAGAGTTGTCGGACCAGATGGTAGGTACCATTTCCACTGGGCCACTTCATACGGAGGCTTCTGACAATGACACTACATAAAATTTTTACTGAGGTATAAATTCTCATTCAAACAGTAGAACAACAATCATTTTCCCTAAATTGAAAAGTTATTGACATATCCCACCGCCCCCCCCATCTCGTGTGTCCAAATTATTTGATTGACATGCAACAAACATTTCAGATTCTCAAATGATCCAAGTCTATCTATACTCACAAAGTGAGACGCAGAAAAAGGGGATGGAGCCAGATAAATCAGCCTTGCCCCGTCATCTTTTAGCATAGTGATTAAAACACAGGCTCTGGAGTCAGACCATTTGAGTTCAAATACAGTTCTGTCACTGAGTTTCTTGAGTAAATCACTTAAATTCGCTTTTTCAAACTTGGCATTTGCAAAATGTGGATAATGATTGTACTTACCTCATAGAGTTGCTGGAACATTAAATGAAATCATTTTTGTACTTAGTGCCTGGCACATAACAAGCATTCAAAAAAATGTTAGCTGATATCATAATAGATGATAAATTTTACTCCATTTATTCAACAGTCAACACACTTTGAACGTATTTTTAAATTCTTTCATTGAATCCCTATCTCCAGATAAATAAACCAGGGATACTGTCTTGGGGAAACTTATGGTTCAAGGACTGAATTTTGATTCTACCAGGTAGCGGTCAGGGTACTCAGTGGAAGCAAGCAATGACTCCTCTAAATAGCATCCTCGTGGGTACAATCCAGCACAGGTGAGAACCCTTTCCATGGGTTAGATAATCATTACTCTGCCCACACCCCACTACTGTGGGCAGGAATCGAATTTTCTTGCCTCTGTTTGCATGTGCATTATCCTTACAACTTGATGAACTCATTGAATTGAGCTTCACGGATACAAAACTTGTGCAGCTGCACAGGGCCCCACACTTGGCTAAATGCTCTATTGTGACCACCATGAAGTCCTTAATAACTTATGCACAAGAGACCCTGGATTTTGCCTTTGCACTGGGCCCCACAAATTAAATAGCTGGTCCTGCCTGGAGCCATGCCCTTCTCATCTCTACAGTCCCAGGAGGAGTGCTAAAAGCTTGATAAACTTTACAGAAGGAATGACATTTATGAACAAATGAATGAATTAAATGCATGAATGAATGACTTGGAAAACAGTCAACAAGTGAGACATTTAATGAAAATTATATTTCTTTTCCTCTTAAAGGGACAATGAAAGGCCAAGCCAGCAACCCAGAAGGCACAGCCACAGATGCTAAGCCTCCAATGGCACAAAGCGCAGGGCATTGCTGTCCCAGGTTTCGAAGGTGTAGCTCCCACCAGTGCTAATGGGAGTTGGGAAAGGCAATTGATGGCAGGCCTGAGCAAGGCCCGCAGTATTCGTTTTGATAACTGGATTCAGTCACATTTACTCCTTAAAGGTTATTAGTTATTTTAAATAATTTTGTTAAATGCTCGAGAGGGAAAATGAAGACATATTAATAAACACACAATTATACAGGTTAGAGCAACAATGCAGCGCTGGTCATTCAGGAACCTGGCGCTAATTTTAATTAGCTGCTTTCCCTTGCTTTCAGATGTAATTAAAGGAGCTTAGTTGTGCTCAGTGATGCAAGCCACCTTATTTAATCACTAACATTATTTCCCTGAACTATTAATGATTTTCAAAACGCTTGTTTATGCAGAATTAGAACAGTAATTACCTTACCAGTTAATTTTGTACCTTCACATTTCACACCTAGCTCAAACGTCATTCATTTACCACGGCTTCTCTGTCAAAACAAAGAAACGCTTGTTCTAAATGTGCTTCTGAGTGCCAAATTGAAAGCCAAGTTTTGTAACACTAATAAAGTAGCTCCCAAGTGAAACAGGTGTAGTAATTTAGACCCTTCCTGTCTCGAGCTTGCACGTACATGCTATGTCTTTTCTTTATTAGCTTTAAAATGAGAGCTTGGTGTGCAAAATAAGCTATTTAATTCAGACTTGTGGAGCAGAATATAATCTTTAATTTAAACTGGTGCAGTAAAAAGAGGCCTTTAATTTTAACTGGCATGTGCGTGTGAATTTGAATTAATAATCCAGAAAATTGAAACTGTTTTGCCGCTGTTGCTGGATATTGACTGTTCTTCACATGCCCTTAGTTTCGCTCACTCGATTTCTCTCCCGAACCATGGCTCGTGCTTTCCTTCCATCTCTCTCTTTTTTTTTTTTTTGCTTATGATGTAGCTGCTTTATTCCATGCAGAGCTTTCTGAAAAAGAAAGTCTCAGTTGACTGAACTCCCTTTACCAAAGAAAAAAAGCACTTTAATAAAGGAATACTAAATCTGTATTAATTTAGTTTACAGAAAGAATATAATTGGTGTATTCATTATATCTACTTAAGACGTAATTCAAGAGCACTCGGAACTCACGCCTGATTGAATCCTTAGATGCGAAGATGATCTCCCCACATTCCTAGTGACGAAACTCCACTGAATCCAGCGGCACCAACGGCTACTCTGAAGGGTGTTCTTACATTGGAAGCAACTTTTAGAAAATATTGGTAACAACAATTATACCATGACATTGTATTGTTTATGATTTAGATAGAACTCAATCATATCCACCCTTTAACCTCCAGGAACACTGCTAACCCCGACTGAGCACTGCTTCCCTGCATCCCAGAAACACTGGGACCACACAGTCCCATGGGGGACAGAAACTTGGGGACCACACAATTAGCTCTGATCACTATGCATTCATTCCTTCATTAATGTAGGGCATTTGTAATTGATAACATACTTTTTTCTGAAAACATTTCCCAGATACTCAACACCTTGGGGCTGGGGCCATGTCTTCTCAGATAATATTTGCAGGTGATTTAATAAATTTCCAGGGTGGAAATTAATACTAGAGACATCAATGTGCACTCCAAAGTGTCAAATAGGTGGGCTATTGTGCAAAAACGCACTGAACTGAAAGAATTTCAAGAATATTGGGGAACATAAAATGTGCATTTTAGGGAAGAGAAGGGGAGGGCATAATGTGGTTAGAATTAGGAGATGTTACTGATTACGTCTGATGTGCATTTAGTCTAGAAAGAGAGGAAAAGGAAAAGAAGAAAAGGAAAGCATCAACAGGCTGGTATATCTAGGATCAAACACTATTGAGTGCAAGCCCCTGACAGAATACCCACAGCCTCCTCTTCCCCAAGAAGCATCACCCATCAGGCCTTCAGCTGGAGGAGCCAAGCCCCCCAAGAGAGGGGAGAGTACCCTTCTGAGGGAGAGACCATGGATGGAATCCCAATGGCCCCACTATCTGCCAAGCCAAATATAGCTACATGATAGATAAATACACAGTCAGCCAGAAATAGATGTGCATTTATGTAAATGTCTGTTCCTTTTTGCTAGTTCATGAAGCTCTTTTAATAGAAGGCAGAGCTTTTCATTAATTAAAGCTTAAAATTTAAATTGCTAGAAGGCAATCGTCTGTGAAGGTAAGACGCATTCACCCCAGAGCGCAACAGTCAACAAGGGTATATGACAATCCTACGTGATTTCAGCTGGTGGCTACAAAGAGAAGACGTGTGCAGAGGGAATTTGATCTTGTCCAGAAGATGAACGCCTCTATTTCTGCTTCATGTGTACTTTGTTATAAAGAAACTCCATTTCCAACAGATTACTCAATCAAGGTATAACTATGGTTTTGTATAGCACAGTTTTCATGTCTTTTAACTAGGTCATATCTTCCCAAACTAAGTTTTACCTGGGAGAACAAGCTTCTTGAAGGCCGAATTCATGTTGTATTCACCTCTTTCTACTTTAGGGGTAAGTACTGAGCTCAGTAAATGAAATAAAATGGCAAATAAACCCCAAAACTTAGTATACTAATTGATGCACTGCTTGGATCATTGGCTAAACAAAAGCTAAATTTTACCAAACTTTCCAACCTGCTTAATTCTCTGTGAGTGCAGCTTAGCACTGAGGATGCCCTCAGCCTGTGGCTTCACATTATACATACAACTTCATTTATCAAACATTGATTGCATGCTTACCAAGTGCCAGGCATTGTGCTGGGCTCTGAGAAAACAAACATTAGCATCTCCCTGCCCTTGCCCCGAGTGAGGGAGAGAGACGCGTAAACAAAGTCAGTTGAACATGATGTGGTATGAATCACAGAGTGGGGAAAGAATGTCTCAGGATACATTGTTGTCAATTCTTTGAAAGATCTCTAGAGATATTTGGGATATTTGTATTTTGCTCCATGTTGTGGCTTTATTCCTTACTGTAACGTTGTTCTAGGAGACTACAGAGGATCTTTTCAGTTCTGAAATGTTGACTAGATTTTCCTTAAATAAAACTGGAATATACTCTAATACAAATTCATTTCCTATGTTAAATCTGCTTGACCATGGGAAAAAGCTGGTCTTAATTTCCTGAAGAAGAATTTTTTATGAATCTTAAGCATCTTAATCAATAATTAAGCCAATGGTTAGCCTTCTCTTCTATCAAATGAAATACACCTTTTGTAGTAAATTTCCTTCATAAAGGGTATTTCTCATTCTTTTATAAGTAAAAGGTATATTTTGGAAATACAGTTGAAAGTAATCTTCAAGTTACTTTTCATTTTTCTGTATTGTTTTTCTCTTTTCTCTTTTATTTTCTTATACTCTCTGTTCCACACTTCCTACAAGCATATGGTCATGTAAGACATCCTGCATGGAACATGAAGGCGGATAAAACCAATCCTTACCCTTAAGGAATTTACAGCTCTGTCAGGAAGATAGTATAAATGTGTTACTAAGGAAACCACAATAAAGTACTTGGGAGTGCAGAGTGAGTAAAAATGTATAATCAGAAAAAGATTGATGGAGGAAGTGGATATGAGTAATTTCCACAGGAAGAAGAGTTGAAGAAATGCATTCTGGGAAAAGAAACCATGTAACAAGGAGCAGATAGAGAGATTTAAAAAAAAAAAAAAGGTATTTGGCATGCTTAGGGAATCCTAAATGATAACCATTATTGGGTGGTTCGAAATAGTCTATAGAATTAAGTCCAAATTCCTTAGTTTCACATAAAGGACCCTACAATACCTGGTTCCAAAAACCTTTTTCAATATAAGCTACCATTAATTCCCATATTTCAGTCAAATAACGCAGTTTCTGATTTCCCGTACTGCTCTGTGGCCTGCTGACTCTGTGCCTTCACTGAGAATCCCTTCCTCCAATCATCCTTCATTCAACAAAAAAGGAAACTGACTGACTGAGGAAGGCATTGAGGAAAGTTAGAAGCTGGGTCCTTGGTGATATCATTGAACTACTGAATTAACCAATATTAGTGCCAATTAACCTCAAGACTTCTTTTTTTGTGAGCTAAAAATTTCACTTGTGGCAGCTGAAAGAATCCTATATGATAATGCGGTCACTCCTTTAGAGAGCTCATAATTCAGTATAGTAACATAGGAGAAAATAACCTGTAAACAACTTTTCATATTTTTCCATGAAAATAAAGCTTATCCCCTAGAAGGATTCATGCCTCCATACTCTGTACCCCTATGGAACTAGAATTGTTGGATTGTTTTGCTCCATTGGCCACAGGAAAACCAAAGACTTCAGAAATACTTACGAAGTTTAACAATATTCCTAATTTATCAGTAACCTTACCCACTGGCCTAGAAGTTAGTTCTACTTTTCCCCCAAGAAAGTATGAAGGCAAGAGAGAAACATCTGTGGGCTTCTTTTCCTATGCACAGTACATGCTGTAGCTGCTCTGGTTTCCATGCCTGCCTGGACTGTTGCTGGTCTTTAAGAGATTTTCTTTTCCTAATATGAAAATCATGTCATAAAATTTTAGATGTTCTAAACTTTAAAATGAATAAACAATCTCTTTCTTGTCCAAAATGTAACTTTTTAAGTTCACCCCTTTCCTTCTCAAGGAACATAGGTCAAATCCCCAGGGGCTAGGCCAGGGGACAATGTAATCCCAACCACAACCCTGCAGCCCAGAGTCAGAGTCCTTCTGCTCCTTGTCTCAGGGGAATTCTTGGAGCATTACCCTACAAAAATTAACATGGTTATTTTTATATTTTATAGTTTTATATCCACTTATTACATTTTCTTAAAGTTTGTAGGACTCAGGCCCCAAATTTATTTTCCCATATTTCCAAAGAAGTCCAAAAAATAAGACTTTGATGTCACTGAGTTCCTCTGGTGGAAAATCCACCTTGAACATCTGAACCGCACTGTGCTCTGAACATCTCCAATTGCATTACTAACTTTTGACAGTATAGTGCAGTTATTTGAGTATCTTCTTTATCTGTCTCTAAAATGAGAAGCTTCTTGACGGCAGGTTTCTCATCTGTTTCATCTTTGTTGCCCTCTCACAGTTTCCTGAACACAACAGATTCGCTGTCAACAATGAGGGGGATATAGAGAAGCTATGTGTAGAATGGGATGAATGGGGAGGAGACTGGATCCAGAGAGGCTACTTAGAAGTCCTCTATAGACAAGAGGACATAAGTGCCTACCCTCGGCCAGTGCTGGTAGAAACGGACAAGTGAAATAGATTTAGGAGATATTACAGGGGTAGTATTATCAGATTGTGATGAACTAGACATAGGAGGTTAAGAAAGGAAGAAAAACCAACCTGATTATGGAATACAAAGCACGAAAAGTTAGGACATAACATTAAATTAAAATAAGGAGGGGATGAAGAGCAGAGATGGAAATGGGACCGAGAAGAAATGGGTTCAGTTTTAGCTTTTCCACATTCCTGCTGGTTAGATTACCAAAATTGAACATAACATGCTATTACATAATCAACTGATGGACAAGACCTCAGAGTGTTGCTCTGAAAATATTTCTTCTAAAGGACTGGTAGTTTTCTGCCAAAATCTGTTGTTCTCTGTTCCCTGAGAACACGGCTAGTCTATATTTCCCAGCCCCTCCTGAATCTTGGTGTGGCTACATGACAGTTCTCACCAATCGACTCTGAACAGAAGTAAAATGTGCTGCCTCCAGGCCTAGTCCTGGAGACTCCGTATGCCTTCTCAGTGCTCTTCCCCTTGCCACTGGTTAGATCCATAGCAACCCTGTATCAACCAGGAAGATGACAAGACAGCCCTGAGGGATGGTAGAGCAATGTGATGGAAAAATCTAGATCCCTGAATGTGGAGCAGAGCCACCCACTGACCTGGAATGCTCACCTTGGATTGTTACATCAGAGGAAAATGAACTGCAATTTTTTGAGGCCACTGAATTATGATTTGGTCTTTTTGTCACAGCATTCCCTGAACTCACACAAACACCATGTTCTGCTTGTTTGGAGATCCCGTGGCTTTAAAATGAGCCATCCTTATCCTGAGGCTGAGAAGGCCTCAACTGTCTCTAAACTACTTACTTATTAAGATGACATAAAAATACTCTCAGAAAAATAGGCTAGACCTCAGGGGGGAACCTTAAGGGTTAGAGGTCAGGTTACCTGCACAAATTTAAAAGAAACTTTCCCAGCTCTCAGTATCAGAAAAATCTAAGCTGGTCCTGGGAAAAGAAGTTGTTTTTATATACATTACCTCCTTGCTGTGGTTGCTAGGAAACCCAGAGTCATATTTGTGGTGCAATAGCAAGTACAGAGGACCGTGGACACATGACCTGTGAATTCTTGGTCACTGGTTTTCATTTGCTTACTCAGATTTTCTCTCTTCACTGATGATCTTGACTACAAATTCTACCCTTCTGAAGCAAATATGTATAAGTCACTTCAAATCATTTCAGGAATGAAATGGGATGCAAAAGAAAAAAATTAATACATTTCAAAGTGACCTATTTTTTAAAAACTGAAGTTTTGTATGCACAAGCTATAAAACTTGATGAGACAATGCATACTGTTCCAAAGGTGATTTCAAAACAGCACCATTTGGATAATCTACTTTGTAGCCTGCAATTTTCTGCTTTTTCCAAGCAAGAATATATTTATTAAGCTATTTATAGATTTTTAACATATAATTTACTGTTCTAAACACTCATTTCTTGATCTTTGCTCTTTATACCAGACATCCATTTAGTATAGCATATATTATCCAACTGTCATAATAAGAGAGGCAAAATGAAAACACTCTGTTTTAATTTAGTACAGAATTATGTTTTAGTAACTCCTTTCCTGCTTTTTGGCTATATTATTTATATGTATAAATTAAATAAATCATTTTCATAAGAGTTTTAACCAAATTTGAATGGGCTTTTTGTAATGGCTTCTACCTCCTACAAGTTTAATGATACCATATTGGAGGAGTTATATAATCACTGAAAAAATTCTAGAAGGTAGCACAGTAGTCATGTTGCACCTATTCAAAAGTGATACGAAAGGTCAATTCCATTTAAGATTTCAAATATATACCTTAATTTTAAAGCTGCTGAACACCTTACATATAATCACGAACACTTTATGTATAATAGTGGCAGTGTTAGTTTAAGAAAAATGTATACTGAACTTTATACTAGATATATTTAATATTTAAATATATTACATACTTTAAATGGTTTAGGAAACTTAGAGTGACAAAAAAAAATATTTCCAGTATTTCTACAATGCCCAAGATTCATGGTCTCCAGGCAACTAGGGCGCACATGGCTGCACGGGGTCTGGCCTGTTCTTGCAGGGCCATTATGTGTTTGGTTGGTGATTTATTCAAACTCAGTTTCAAACCTGCTATTAGGTCCCTCATTGCTTTAATGCAACTAGCCCACCATTCATAACTGTCAAGGACTGATTCATCGGAACTGAGACATTTTAGGCATCCAAACTTGTAAAAATGTATTTTTTTTGTTAGCCAATATAAGACTATAAGTACTATTGTTCTGGTCTCGCACATTCTCTCCTTCTTGTAAATACTTTAGAATACATCTACTCAATTTTTAAACCTACCTGTCAGAGGAAACATACTTGAATCATAAGCACACATGGCACTGAGAGAGGTTTCTGCTTGTGGTTGATAGTGATGGTCTCTTAATGCCTCTCAACTAACCTTGGGTTAGTAGTATTAGCCTTTATAAAATAAAAATAAACAACAGCATGTATAAGTTGATAGGAATAAGTGACCAAGTGACTAAAAACTTGACAAGATCCTCTAAAAATGGTGACAGAGAAGTGACCACTTAATTTGAATAGTTCTGATTCTCTTTGTTTAAAAAAAATGAAGAATTTACTGTAATAGATGAATCTCCAGAGCATGACACTTCAGGAAAGAAGTCAGTCACAGAAGAATGCATGGAGCGTAATCCCATTTATGTAGAGGCAAAATTGGCAAATAAAAAAACAATGGAATAATTAACTAAAAATCCAGGTTATGGTTACCCAGGGGATGCAAGGCTGAGAGAATGAGATTTGAAGAGGCACATAAGGGACTTCCGAAATTCCTGTGAAAACTTTGAAAAATAAATCACATAAATCAGAAAAACATTCTGAGTTTGGTTGGTGGGTAGTGTGGGCAAAACCTCGTTCTTTTATAATTATTTTGGTAAGGAAAGCATATTAATATTTTCAGGGGAGAAAAGGTTTATGGTATATTAGTTCAGTTCAAAAACGTCAGTCCTAATATTATGAAAGCTCAGAAAGTCTTCTCAGGAGAATTTCCCAATGTTTTGTTCGTCTCATCAGGAATGTCGACAGAGGAATAAAATGGCACTCGATCTTCTGGACAGCTTGGTGTTTGTCTTTGGCTGTCAAGCAAAAAGAGCTGCAATTCCACTCATCTGGAGAAGATTAGAATACTTTGCGAAATCAGAGAAAATAGAAAATAAAATAACAGAATGCTGGCCAGTCATTTTTTCCAACTCCCTTTGAAAGAGGGCATATCCCACCTCGTAGCACAGGTTTTATGAGCTACAATTTCAACAGCATAAATGCCGAGAGATGGAAACGTACTTGGGCACTTACCTTTCAAATCATGACGCAAAAAGCGTGCATGACATGGGGAGTCTTCATTCAAAGGGAAAAAACCCACTTGATACACAGATAGCATTTTATTTCTGAATCTGAAAACTTACAGAAATTAATCATTTATTCAGAAAATAAAGAGGGTTTTATGTGTTAAAATGGATATGCTTAATCAAAGGCTGTCAATAGAAAGCTCACAGTTTAAATTCCAAGTTTAAAACGGAATGATTTTAATATTTTTCAGATGTTTCTCTAAAAGCACACGCACCTGCTCTAAGAAGAGGGTGTTTACTACTATGATTATCTAGAGACCACCTAACTTCAGGATGAAATATACCCATATGTGTACATATATATATATATATATATATATATATATATATATATATATATATATAAAATACATACATATATATATACACATAGAGACAAGCACACATATATACATATTATAAATACATATATATTAAAGTGAAACTTGATAAAAATACACTTCTTTTTTGTTTCCTTCAAAGTAACTTTAAAGAATTTTAAAATTGCATTCCTCCTTTTAATACCACGTACTGTGCAATAAGCCTTGTATTACATCATTATATCAGCTGAACACAGATATTCCCCAAAGACCTGGCTCAGGAAAGTGCCACAACATGGCAGCTTGTCCTATCCCCATTTGGTGTGGATTCCAATTAAGTCTAACCATGAGGGAATGGCTTTCTGACAAGAGCACAAGAAAGGGACAGGACAACGTTCATCCTGGGCCATGGGGAAATTAAAGGCAATAATGGACGCTGGTGCTTCTGGAATTGCCCCTCTGGTCTAACCTGGGAAATGCTGAGAAGAGACTGGAGTGAACCAATCATGTCCTCTAAGTTCTGATTTGTTTGTTTATTTTTCTGTAGTAAACCTTCAGTACGTAAGGCTTTAGAGTGAAACTGCAGCACACACAGGCTAATGAAAGGATGAGCTCTTCCGGATCGTGTGTTTTAATCCTTGTGCCCATTCTGACAGCTAACACCACCACTCTTCATCTCCCAGAGCCTAGTTAATGATCTGAAGCCAAGTTTCCACAGTAGGAAACAGGTGGAAACCTGGCATTTTGTCAACTCCTTAGGTCATAGTGAGGCCAAGTTGACTCTGGTACTTGAATCTTGATACGATGAAGAAAATGGACACCTGAGTTCTAATCCCAGCTCTGTCATGCACTTACTGCATCCCCTGGACATGTCACTTCCCTTTCCCGAGCCTTTGTCTCCTCTTCTATAAAATGAGAGTCTTTAATCATTTCCAGTGTCGTCCAAGGACCCTGGAAGTCTCTGAAATCCTTTCAGGGTATTTGGGAGACCAAAACTCTTTTCATAGTAATACTAAGATGTCATTTGTCTATTCTACCCTCACTGCGCAAAAGTGTACAATGGAGTTTTCCAGAGACTGCATGAGGAGGCAATTAGACTGAGGTGGCTCTAACGCATTGGTAGTCTATATAAGTGAATCAAAACCCAAGCCAAAGTCAACGCACCTGAATATGAGAAAGCAAAACTGAAGAACAACCACTCACAGTCTAGTTGGCTTTCCTAAACAAGGCCACATCTTAAGCTATAGCCAATCAAATAATTTCTTTGTTTTGCTTCCCATCTTCTCTACAAAAACCTTGCCCCCAGCTCCTGTTGATGCTCCTAATCGCTTTTGGTTTGGTGCTGCCTGGTTCGAATTGACATGTGCTCAAATAAACTCTTGAAAATGTTAATGTGTGTCAGTTTATCTTTTAACACATGTAATATCATAACAGATGAAATGCAGAAGCAGATCTGGGAATCTAGCTATCTTCCATTAAACCAGACCTTAAGGAGATTTACAAAAAAGAGTAAAAGAATGCCACTCTTCTCACTAACAAAAATGTGCTGTTTCTTGTAAAAAATGTTATTTTGTTTATTTATACGTATTTACTAATATTTTTAAATGAATTAAACATTTGAAAATTTCTCTTTTAATATCTACTACAATAAATATGATAGATAGAACTCACAAAAACTAAAGCTCTTTGGGGTCGTCAATAATTTTTAAGGTTGTAAAGTTGCCCTGAGATCAGTAAGTCTGAGAACTGCTGGATGAGATGTTTTCTGAGACCCTTTCAGCACTGCAGTACTTTGATATCTTATCTATCATCCGATATTATTACCTATAGTGAGTAACTTCATAGGACAACTACATTCTCCAGT